AAAAGACTTTTCTTTGTTTGCAATTTAGTTTTAGATTATATTACACAATATATCATTGTGACTGACAGTAGTTAACATTTAGATATTGTTGACCTATGCAATGTGTCAAGTTTCAAAAGAGTCCTAAAGAAAGCTTGAAAATACTTCTACATAGTCAATGCAACCCAAGGAATCAATCTGTCCTGTTGACAAATAAATATGGTATTAGCTAATGCTCTAAATTAACATGCACTAAATTTCCTGGGATGGTTGTTTGAAATGTAAGTCTTCCTGGCTTGCAGACAATATTAATAACTTGAATTTTCAACCAACTGAAGTTATAAATCTTTGAATGGTTTGCTTGAATTACATTCTATAGACCCAAATACAAAAGTTTAACTATCTTTTAGGGTCAAACCATTATAATTACAAATGCCACAGATTTTCACATGATATGGGTGATGACCATAAGAACCAGATAGCCTTCTTTATAATCCATTTTCAAGGTGTAAAGTTACACATCGGGTATAAATAACATGAGATCATAGGTCTAGCAAAGGTTTTTACGTTCTCTAGCCTCTGTTCTTATATCTGTGGTTAATGAATTAAAACTCAAGTTTCCTTGAAAACATTTATGTAAATATTTACAGTTTCCTACGTATAAATACTTCTTTTAAAGAGATATACATAAAATCAGTCATCTTGAGATTTAGGACTACTATGGAATATAAAATCTGATTACACAAAAGAGAAGGTAAAACACCAAGTCATATTAGCTCCACAAACAGCTTTATGGAAATAAAGTGTTTCTATATATCAGCACCAAGACAGCGTTTCTGCTCTTGGAAAAAGAGCTATGCACGTGAAGGAATAAGGAAAGGAAGAGTCATGAACAAGGGAAACATCAAAAGATCTCAGGAAAATAGAAAATTCAAACACCTGATAGATTACTAGATGCTGAAAGGAAAGAGGCCTAAGGACATAAAAACTTTGGTGGGAAAGAAGACGGTAGAACAAATCAAGAAGTCTTTCCATTTTGTTAGCTACAGTTTTACCCAAGTATTACCTGCAGGTAAACACATCCTGCCTATAATCAAAAAAAAGCCACTACAAACAAAAAGAAAAACAAACCCACCCACCTAACACCAAGAAGTCAAAAAGAACATGGATAACAGCAACCCGGTTTATGTAGTCTACTGGGATTTCAAAGTAATTTCTGAAGAAGTCATTCAACAAACACTTTTAACTAAGCAGCAATAAGGTAAGATGGAAGGGTCCAGGCACAGACAAATAGCCAATCAAAAAGAAAAAGAGGGCAGAAGCAAACTGTTTGTTCCAGCCTGAAGGTAGGTTACTGCAAGTTCACAAAGTCTATGCTGGAAAGCAATATTCAGAAGTGATCTAGAAAAAAGCAAGTGGCAAGATGACCAAGTTTGCTCAGCAGAGATGTGTAATGTAGTAAAAGCAAGAGCTGGCAAAGATGAACTGACAGAAGGGACTGAGTGACTATGTAATAAGAAAGCTAAATTCAACACAGGTAAGTGTACAATGAGGTACAATGGTGGAAAGCAACTGTAAAATTTACAGAAAATGACAGACTCCAAGCTAACTAGTATTATATAAAACTGTGGATTTATGACAGATAGTTCCATGGAAGTATCAGTTTAACACATGAAGTAGTTAAAAGCAGAATAAAGAAAGGAAGACAGAACGAAACAGAAAACTTTACTGTAGAATTGTAGGGTAATGGAGTTCCGAAGGGACTGATGAAAGCCTCTTGTCTAACCTACTGCTTAAAGCAGGAGGTCACCTGTGAGATCAGAGTAGGCTGCTCAGGGCTTTTTCCAGGCACATCTTAAAAGCCTTCGAGGTTTGACAGAGCCTGCACAGCCCTTCTGGGCAACCTCCCTCCACTGCCTGCCTGTCTTCATGGAGAAAAGTGCTTCTTATATCCTGGCTAAATCTCTCTTGTCTCGACTTACTCCCATTGCCTTTCATCCTCTGAATATGCACTGCTGTGAAAAGCCTGGCTCCATCTTCGCAATGGTCAGCTAATGCAGACTATCCCATAACCTCCCAGGTTAACTTTTTGGCCTACCTACAGTTAATTAGAAACCTCCATGACCTTTCAAAGATGATAGACAGTGGCCTTGCTAAGGCTTTCCCCTGTTCTCTCAGCACCACTGGATGCAGCTCAATGGGTCCTGTGGACTTTTATGGGTGAAGTTTCCTTGAGTAATCTCTGATTCAATCCTTAACCACTGTTCACGGTTCCTCTCTCCTAACTAAGCACAGTGGTCTAGAAGACCTCATCAGTGAAGACTGAGAAAAAGCAAGGCACCGAGTACCTGAGCCTTATTTAAGCCTGCCATCACTAAATCACTTGCTCTATTCAGCAACAGAACCGTGTTCTCCTTGCTCAGCCTTTTGTGACTAGCATAACGTCAAACCTCTTCTTGTCACCCTAGACATCCCTTGAGACATCAACTCTAGGCTAGCTTTCACTTTCCTAATACCATCCCTTCATGCCTGGGCAACATGTCCAAACTTCTCCTCCATAGCCCATCTCTGCTTCCAGATCCTGCACACTGCCTGCTTGCATTGGAGCTTGCTCGTAAGATCCCTGGGCAGCAGAACAGACTCTTCTTGCAATTAGAGGATGCTGCCAGCTTTCCTGAGCTACTCTGCCCTTCACAGCTGCCTTCTATGGGATCCCAGATAAGAATTTCCTGAAGAAGCCAAAGTCTGCTCTCCTGAACTCTAGGATCTGTACCCTGATATTCCTTCCTCGCTCCCGTCAGGATCTTGAACTCCACTATTACATGGTCACTGCAGTAAAGAGTACCCACATTACATCTCAAACCAGTTCTTTCATTTTAGGGAGCAGCAGATACAGCTTTGCATCACCCCTAGGTTGGCCCATCAGTACCTGTATCAAGAACTTGCCCCTGATATTCTCCAGAAATCTGGTTTGCTTGTGTTCTGCTCTGTCAGACTTTCAGCAGGTGCCAGGATGTTTATTCCCGATGGAAATAAAAAAGTTAAAAATAATAAAACTTAAAAAATAAAAAAGTTCCCGATGGAAACCATAGACTGTGATCCAGAGACTTCCTTGCCTTTAAAGAAAGCTTTGCCCACATCCTCATCCTGAGGAGGGTGGTCTGTACCAGACTAACCAGGGTGGCACCTTTACCAGCCTCTCCTCTGATCCTGACCCACAAACTCTCATCTTAAACTGTCATCTTGTCCCATACAAGTACCACACACATTTCAGCTGCTCCCCCACAAGGAATGCCTTTCCTTGTCATGCCTACTTGCCTTTCCTAAAAAGCCTGTATCTGTCCACCATACCACCTCATAAATTTATAGCCCACTCACACCTTGAGAACTTCCTGGTCCTCCAACTAAAATGCTACTACAGCTAGAAAAGATCTGGAGAACAGCAACAAGGTGGATCAGAGATTAGAAGCGATTCTGTACGGGCAACAACTCAGCAGACAGCTTGGAAAGAAAAAGAGACCACCGACCTGTCGAAAGAGAGTATGACAGCAGTGCAGAGAACTGTAAATCACAATCAACAAGGAGACATGGAGGCCACCAGACAAAGCTAGTGGGAGCCAGGTTAAAAAAAAAAAAAAAAAAGAGGCAATTCTTCATGTAATAGGGAGCACAACTATGGAACTCCTACCCAAAGGACCCTACGGGTACAAGAAGTTTGCAAGGTTCAAGGGAGACAAGTACATAAAAGCGAGTTCCACTGGGGATTACCAACTGAAACTGCAAAGGATCAAGAACATCCCCCAAGATGAAAGCAGTTGGAGGCTTGAGAGTGTTTTAGCAGAGCAGTATCATGCGTACTGTTTGTACTCCTCTGTAAGCATCCATTTGCGGAAATTACTAGGCAGAACGTTGATCTAAATGGACTCAGCCTGAAGTAAAACAGCCATCAGTATGAAAGTAACAATATTAGTTTACCTGAAGTGCTTCAGCCTGACAGTAATTTGTTAGAAATGGGTATTAAATATTTTATTTCCTTCCTCTCAAAATGTCAGACTACGAAAAGTTATGATATGCTGAATTTTCTTCTTGTAGACTAAAAATAAATTTTCTCCTTTTGTATTCCAGTTTCACCCACTGTTTTCTGTGTTTAGATGCTTTTGAATATATCTACAGATTATTTACAGAAACATATACATATTTTAAAAAAATCTCTTAAAAGATGGGTTCATAAAGTCCATATACAATGAATTATTGATATTAGAACATTAGATTTCACTAGACAAGTTGCAGTATCTGTACCCATTTCTCTATTGACCCTTTTTTTTAAAAAAAAAAAAAAAACAAACAAAAAAACCCCACCAAAACACATCAGTTTTAATTAAGCTACGTATCCACAAAAGCAGACTAAGAGCACACATACTGGCTGTGTTAGGTAAAACCACTCAAAACAGACTCAAATGTATCCATACCAGACCTTCACTTTCCTCCTTCTCAAATTTCCTTCTCTATCAGTTATTCCTTTTTTTACCTTTCTCAGCCATCTATTTCCTTGTAGCTATTCTGCTAAGCACTCCATGACTGAGGATGTCTCATTTCCTCTACCTACCTCCATTGTCAGCCACCCTCATTCAGACATTTGCATGCGTTCCTTTTAATATAAAAAGTCTGTTCCTCATCTGTAATCCAATTTTCACATGTTTTTAGGAATCCACAATTGTTATTGATGTCAGCATGAGCTGACAGGATCTTCAGAGACTCAACTCCTTGTCTTCATCAACTTTTTAATAAGAAACATTTTGAAGCTTCACTTAGTTATGCTACAGTACTTTCTACACTTCAATCAGCCTTATGGATGAACATCTTAAGAGATGCAATAAATAAGTAATGCTCAAAAACTTCTCATGCAGTGGCCTAGACTTCCCAGAAAACAGATATCTTAAGTTATCCACTTAAAATAAGATAACTCACCTCACATTAAATACAACGGAGTGTATACACAGCTAATCAAAGAGGGTGCTTACCTGAATGACAGCACTAAACCAGCACGTGTTGCCAACATTCTTTAATCCTACTGGACAGTTGTCTTGCCGCTTTCGATCATAAGGGTTTGGAGAGTCACTCCATACCTCTGGGTGCGTCCTCTTTAAACTTGCTTTATTTTCTGCAATGCTGGCTTCTAGAACTCTTCAGGAACAGAAGGGAGGGAAAAATGTGAGAAAAAGCAAAAAAAAAAAAGACAGAGTAAAACATCTTCAATTACTAATACAGACATCTTAATTACATCATTTGCTAAGTTATTATTGCTGAACTTGGTTTTAAATTTATATGCAATAATATATATGTCTTGAAAAGCGAGACGCTATTTTACTTTTAGATATGTTACAGTAATTCCATTACCTTTTGGAAAATGGTATCAATGAGTGAGCGAATCTCCTGTGAGAGCTCTAGATACAAGAGCCATCCATGTCTGTAAGTCATCAATTGTTTAAGAACCAGACTTAAACAGCATGGACAACAAGAAATTTTAGGCAGCCCTATTAGTGTAGTGCCTTCATCTACAAATGCTTTTATCGGTATGCAAAGCACAAAGTCACCAATATTTATTTTACTGACGAAAGCAAAGCTAGTTAGGCAACTTTCAAAAATGGAAGAAGCTTTTTTAGTTTCCATTTTTGCAACTTATGCAACAGTATTAATTGCTTTACATAGCAAGTGACTACTCTGAGCCATGGAAAGACATCTCCCTACAATTTTTCAAATGCCACCCAACAAGTTAATTGTGTGCTTCGATGACCATACTCTTTGCAGTAAACTGTTCCTGCGTGATTTATGCTTAATGTCCGTATTTCGCACGACAGTAAGATCTGATGTGTGTTATGCTCCCAGACTCAAGCTTCACTCAACACAGTATTTCTTTATCAGCACATATTTTTAGCCTGGTGACAAAGAACCTCTTAAAGGTAATTTGTGGTAGCCACATATTCTAAATAGAAAGATGGAGATGGATGCATTCAGGTCATATAATGATGGCTCTAACTAAAAAGCAAAGTTGCTGGGCATGTGCACTACTACTGACACAGCCACTATCCCCAACTATCTAGTCCAACTATCATACGAAAGGCTGAGCTGCTATTGAACTATTACGTTCGCCAAGTGCAGAATTTCAGGAGCTGCGTGACAAGCATCTGAGCAGTCTGTGCAGCCTGAAGGATTGCCCCCTTCGGTTCTAGACTCACTAAGCACCAAAGAAAGGCATGTTTAGGCTGGTCTGTAAATGGAGTTCCTACCAAACAGTCTAAACACCTCAGGAAAAAAAAAAAGGGGGGGGAAGTTGGAAGTGTGTGCATGTAAACCACACACCCCCTAATCCCTCAGTTTCCTAACTGTAACTATGCTCTTGTCAAAGTAAGAAAAGGTATCTTACAAGATATACAAGAACTATGAAGCATTACATGAATTTACTGTAGATAACTGCTTTGAGGGACATACTAATTTGTTATTGTTACTTATTTTCAAAAAAATAGAAGCATTCAGAATTTGAGAGCCCATTTGGTACAGATACCGCTTTTGCATCAATACATCTCGGGAAGAACCTAGAACTTCTAATTGTCTACGGATTAATCAATTTCTGACATTTAGTTTTTGACATATAACCTTGTAAACAGCACATCTTTTTCCAAAGGACAGGTATATAATCCTCTAAGACTTTCTGCTCTGACATCTCTTCCAATAATGCATAGGGATGGAACCCGATTCTTTAGTGGTAAAACACTCCTACACTAGCAATGATAATGTTATCTCCTAAGCAAATCCCAAAATGTAATGAAACAGATGAATTCATTTCCCTTCTCACTGATACAACCCTTCAAAAGTATTAGATGACCAGTGTATTTCTGCTTTGAGAGTAGCAGTTTTCGATGGGGACATTAAAAATTAATTAAAAAAAAAAGTCATACGTATTTCAAATAATTTCTCATTCAGGTGGAATAACCTAAACTCTTGTTTAAACTAAATTGAAGGGACGTTTAAAACTGACAGAAAGACTCTGACAGACTGGAATAAATTTAGAATGATGCTGTAACAGAACTACAATACAGGGAAACAACCAAACTTCCCCCCCCCAAGCTCAAGAATATTTCAAGATATTTCAAGATTCACAAAAATATACACTCTCAAACTGAAACAGTTCCCTGACCCCAAAGGTATTACCATTTATCAACGTAATTACCAACTAAAATTTCTTCCTGTATTTGTTTTTTTATTTCTTTAGCAGGTTTCCTCATCTCTAGCTCCACCTCAAGTTTGTTTCCATGTCTTAAATTTGATTATCAAAGCTTCATGATATTTTTCCTTATTTTTACTTATAACATTATCTGTCCTCAGAGAGTATACACAATAGCTGCACACCCTATATGTCAAATTCATTTTCAGCCACAACGACAGCTGTGATGCAAACTGAAATAAAAGTGAGCATAGTAAACAGGAACCTAACGATCAGCTCAAAGGCTGCATAAATAAATGTATTTACCAGCATAGTGAGTATATCTCTTACACTATAACATTCACTGTATTATATTCATACAGTCCTGATTTGGGAAACTACCTTGATAAAGAATTCTACTCACACATTGCTCTCAACAAAATAAGCATCCTTCCAGAAAGTTAGTACAAGGATTTAGCAATTCTCATTACACAGCCGAAACACCTTCTTTGTGACCCTTGGAGACCACAGCAGCAGTTGCTAGCAGGAAAGCCATAAGCTACGTGCAGGGTATGGCATGTCTCAAACCTCGCGGGACCAAAGGCTTCCCCACCTCCAAGTGCTGGATTCTTGTTTGGAGGGAAGCTCTGGAGTGAAGGTTAGTTAATGCCAGGCTTGGCACGGGACTTGAAAGCAGTGCTTTATTTCTCTCCGTAACAAGCTGGGCACAGCCAAGCAGCTTTGCAGAGCTGCTTGCATGGGGCTAGCCAGACAATGCAATAAGCCTCGGGCAAACTGAGTCCACTGCACGAAAGTTCAGCCAAACCATTCTGAGGAAGCCCACTAAACATGCCGCAGAAAAGCCCACTCCAGCAGGCTACTCAGCAAAAAGAACACGGAAGGCTCTTTATACTGGGACTGTCTTTTAGCTGGACATCCAAGAATATCCCTAATCCTACATGCCTCCCCAGTTTCGCGTTTGATCTATACACACAATGCTTAACCACACTGCAGAGTCCCAGGCAGTTTCAATGACCCTGTTAAAAAAAGGTGGGGGGGGAATGAAAAAAGTCTAGGGGTTGTGCACATCCTTATGCACTTACAGTGTGGGCTCTCATTTTAACATGGCTACTACCCTAGGCACAACAAGCGCCAGCTAACTTCTCCTTTTAGTCATATTTCACTAGTTTCCCCAGTGAAGCCCTCTCTGGCCAGCCTCATTCTCCTTCTATCCAGGAAAAGTAACATAAATAGGAGAAATTTTTTCATATTAGGAAATACCCTGCTCACACACATTTCCCTGGGAGATTTAAAGAGAAAATAGTAATAAACTTTAAACACGCCACGTACAAGATGTTCAGCTTGGACACTTGGACATTTCAGCTGCACTCCTCAACGCCTACACAGTAATCAGATCTGTCCTCATTAAGTAGCACAAGGCAATTACATTCAGGGAGACAAATTCTATGTGCATTACAACATTAATTACACAAGTGAAGAAATTCCATTAATGCTTCCTTGGAAACCTTAACAAAATCAGTGCAAATTAGGTTCCAAACCACCATCAATACCTTTGAAAAAAAATATCCTCCACACCAAAGACTATTTAAATATACGCACATGCTACATTATTAAAAATGAGAGATTTCCATAGTTTAATGTGCTTATTATTGACTTTCTATTCGATTTCAGCTTCTTATTTAACTTAGAAAAACAAAAGTAAATGGCTGCAGCTTGACTTGTTTACAACCACAGTGTTCTACTTTTTGTTTTGAGAAGTCCTGCACAGATATTGTGCTTTCTATTGGAATGCCAACATTCTTCTGTGGGGTGTTAACTACAAAGCAATTTTTTTTTTATCTTTTATTTTTTTTAAAAAAACAGTCTGAAGTTCTGTCCTTAAGGAAACTGATTGAACAGTTCAGATCAAAAAATTCAAGAATTCTGAACTTCCTGTATTTGTACAACATAATTTGCCATCAACTCAGGGTGCATCTTGGTGCGTAACTGAGTTGATCTAACACCCCAGGACTGCCAAAACCTTTATGATTCTCACTCTTCTCTGCCTCTATTCACAAAGTCCCATTTCCCTTTCTTGTGCGAAGATAATACTCTCGATCTTTAAGTGAGTATTTTTGTATGGCTTTGCGAGATGAATTCATGCAACAAATGCTCCAAAGAATACTACAGCAAGTACAGAAGATGTGGTATGGTGTGCAGGCCATATCCCCCTTGGTAGCAACAGGCTCTTGATTTGGTACACAGTATTGTGTGTTATTGTGCCACTAAACGCCTATCTCCTTCACCAGAAGGCCAGCACTTTTCTCTGGATATAATGGAATAGATTGTCTACATGCCTTTGTACATACGGGGGCAAAGGGGGGTGGGGTGGTGGGGTGTGAAATGGCATACTTTGTTACTTTCTGCAACAAGAAAAAAATACACCATAATTTAAGTAGAATGTATTTATAATACTTAGTTATGGGCTCAGCAGGTAGGACCAAAAGGGGCTTTTCAATCTGAGAAGTGAAAAACAAAGTCTACGAGAAAAAAACTAAAGCTTTGAGGCTCCCAAGAAGTGAGCACAGCAGAAGCAGCCAAAGCTTGCTGAAGGAAAAAAAAGATTTCCATACCCAGAAATAGGTCCCTCATTCTGAGTGTCTGCTTAAATCACAACTCCATAATTATGAAAATTCTGTCTTTCAAATAGGAACACACAAGAGCTGAACTTCCACCATAATCTTGTATACATGCACATACGGAGAAGTCTCAGCAAAAAACAACCCCTTAAAATCTTCTTCTAATTATTAATGAGAATATAAATCACTCTCATCCCGCCTTTCTCTCCTAATATATGTTATTTTAAACTCATATAACAAGATGGCTTTTATCACAAATGGGGGGACAGAGGGGTATGTTTATTCTGACAGTTAGTACATTGATTTTTCAAAAGGAAAAAGCAAATTACTGTGGATAAAGTAACACCCTCCATATTCTCAGAGTTTGACTTTTCTGGTAAGTCATTTAGTCTGTCAAATACCGTGAACTGAGGAAAAGAATTATTGTGGTGAATCTCCCTCATCTAAATCAATTTTTTATAAAATTAGCCTTTTACAAGGAGGCAGTACTTAACCTTCTAATACAGGGATCAAATCATTTCCCTTTTCCCCTAGAACAAGGCCAGCCACAGATAAAAAAACCATCCCTCCCTCACAACCCTATGCTCAGACCTAGTTCAAGTCCCAAATATTTCATAATTATATCTGTATTTACATATAAACACACACTGTACAAAAATTTATTGTAAAATCTGATAAAAAGATAACTTACAGATTCTTATCGCACCCAAGTTGAGAAAGTTAAATACATAAAACTTTAAACCAAGAAGTTAACTTCACTCCAAACTTATAAATCCTATTTGTTAAATAAGTTAATAACATACTTTATCAGCCTAAATACAGCAGCTGCTCTTAGTATACTTGTCATAGCATTACTACCCCTCGCCCCAATCTCAGCCTTAACACAGAGGTAAGAAAATATTACTGTAGAGTGAACACTGCAAAAACAGGACAAAGAATTTATTAGCTTCTCACTTATATTTTGTTTTCATTGCTTTTTACCTGATACACACAGGAAACTTTTGGTTTTAGATCCCAATTTAAATATGACCGTATATCCTCTATCTCCATTTACTTCCTCAATATTTAAACAAATGCATCGACATGAAACATACTATTAAATCCTAGCCCACACATAATAGGCTATTTTCCAGTGTAGAACATACCATAAAGCAACATCCTGAAGCCAGGCATATCAGTAGCACAAGTGAAAGTAAACAAGTTATTCTTTGTTAAATTAAAAGTTTAAAAAAAGCAATACAGGCCAATCTCCAACTCTTTAATGTAATTTCTGCTTTATATAAGTTGTTTGTTTACCTGCTAATGGCTTGTTCCTCATCTGTTATTCCAGTCTCCCTGAATGCCCTGTTTGATTCCTCCAAACTCAAGGCAATTGCCCTCTGAAGATCATCTTTATCATCTCCAGTGAGATCAATCACATCTGAAAAGCAAAACTATCTTTCTCAAAATTAAAAGTGAAACAGAATGAAAAGGCAAGTCTTACTGTAGAGGAGAGAGAGCCCACGTGGATTGCTGAGCACCATTCCAGTCCATCCCTCCTGTGCCCTGTGCTCTTCCAACCACTAACCCTGCTAACAGCTCCCTTCCGCCTCCAAGCCAGATAAAAGCCTCTGCAGCTTGCTCTTGCTAAGATATGACGGGCAATAGTCTTCCTTCCTCTAAACGATCTTAAGTTTCACAAAGGTATGGGACAAATTTAAGAATCTGTGGTTTCTGAAAGCCCTCTTAAAGCAATACACTTAAATTTATTACTTCAGCTACCGTAATCAGTTGCTTCCAGGGACCACATGATGAAGAAAACCTTCTCTTAAAAAGGATACCTTAACCTGGCATAGTTGTTTTTTCCTCCTAATGGTGGAACTCATGCGAAGTTTTCCCAATACAGCCCCAAATTCGACAAGTATTTCTGTGCACTGGTGAGCCAAATACTTTCACACCATTTCATAACATGTGGGAGAGTTCTCACTTAACCTAATTCTTTTCTATCCTGTCTGTGCATTCCTTTTCTGAATGTATTTAAATCCAATTTCTGTCTAGTGGAAGTATCCCATCTCAACAGGAGAATTAAGAAAACAAATACTGAAGTCAAAATGAGGATCCATACTTGGACACATGGGGAATGCTACACAGGCTTCTGAGTAATGAAGATGAAAACAATCCTACTTCCGCCTTCCTCTCCAGCTCCCATTAACTAAAGAATCAGATACTAACGTCCCCTGTAAACCTCCCTGTTGCCTGAGGGTAGCAACAGCACTCCCTCTCCTGAGTAAGGACGGATTTCACTACCCACATCACACCGCAACACCAGTCATCACCCCGTCAGGCACAGCCACGCTTTCAGAGTAGTCAGGACGAAAAGGAATGTCCATCAACTGTGCAAGACCTTCAGAAAAGTCAAGGTCATTGGTTATCATGATTTCAAAGGCTAAAAGTCTCATTTTGCAAGCCAGCCAGACTGAACAAGAGGGGAAAGTGCAAGAGGAACTTATATGTGCAATATTAGACAGACACGCACACAGGCAGTGGCTGGTTTCAGCCTCCCTTCTCCAAGGCCAAAGTTTACCCAAGGAACTATGAAAGGGATGCCATCCAGCCTGGAGTTTGGACAGTAGAAGCTAAAAGACTCTGCAAGAAAAAGAGACAGGTTTGCAACTGATGATTGCTTCAAAGAGAGATGAGCAGCTTGTCTGCTTTTCTCCTTCCACAGGCCAGCTCAACTACTCATACCCAAAGAGCTTCTCCACCTAGCTTCCGACTTTTGTCCTGGATGGGCTGACTTGCTGTAGGGACAGCTTCCCCTGTTTCCCCAGGCTTGCCTGGGACGTTTCTCAAAATAAAACGCTGAACTTATGATACAAAGATCATTGCCATAGCCACGAATGAACAGAAAATTGGATGACTTATCCTCACAGAAAGCAGAGACTGAATAGAAGTTGCAGAAGAAATTTTTCTGTTTACACCAACGTCTTCAAAAATTAGTTTTCAACTTAGCGCTTTCTTCCCTCTAATAAAGATGGTTGAATTTCTATTTTATTTACTGATCCTTTAAAGGAAGCACTATTACCTGCAAAGTAAACTGGACAATATGTCGTGACCTGTAAGTATGGGAAAAAAAGCTACGACCACAAAAGCAGCACTTTGTAATTTTATTCTTATGTTTTTTATAGTCAGCTCAGATCTGCCAGCCTAGCAGAAGGATACTTCAACTCAGATGCCTGAAATTTTCCTTCAGAAGTAGTAAAGCAATTACAAGGACCACCAGCAGAAGTCTCTCCCAGAGGAGTTTTGATATATGAGCTGCCATGTTGAGAACAATGTAATTCGGGCTACAATAGCACCTCAGCCTGGGTCACACACAAGCATGGCTCTGTTCTACAGCCTGAGAGCAGGAGGAAGGTTGACAGCAATAAGAGGATCCCGCGACCACACACACACACACTACCTATTACGCTCTAAAGTGTGGTGCTTATGTTATATTTTCTACCCTTTTGCAGGTAGTCACACACAAGCACCTCATGTCCACTGGAGATGAGCTGTTTTTCTCAGAGTAATACTGGTCACAACTGAAGATGGAGCAAGCCTCAATCCAGCAGCCACACATGCTGATGGAGAAGTATGGGCTATTCCGATCATTTACTTACAAAGGGGAATATTGCTTTAGCTAGTGTCTAGTCAAGTAAGAGTGATGAAATTCTTATACAACAATAACGAATAAAGTTAGATTAAGAAGTAAGCTCTTTTATATCGGGAGTATTTTTCAGAAAAGAACTCACAACCTAGCTGAAAATTGTGGTTAACAAAAGCTCCCACTGTTACACAAACAAAACAAACAACAACAAAAATTTATCAAAGTCAACTCTAGCTCACGCTTTCACTAAATTATTCAACTTCTTTGCACCTCCCTAGCTACTTAATCTTTATTAATAATCTATAACACCACCCTATGCATTTGTAAGTTTATTACCATTCATATTACCAGTGATTACATCACTTTAATATTAAAACCCTGAATCCTTCACTTCCGCTTGCTTTCAGAAAGCGGATAAACACAATGGTTTCCTTTGCCGTGCAAGTGTTTTGGAGCAGACAATACAGGACTCTCTTTAGAAATGTTGTTTTTGCATATACATTGTTCCTTATCTGCATGAAAAAAGACAATACAGTGAAGACCTGCTGCCAGATGGGTGCAGTCAACTTATGTGACAGAGAGAGTACCTAGCATAACGTATGTCAGAAAAATACATTTCTAAATATCAGCTGATGCATGATAACCTACTCCATGCAAGCTTTTAGTTCGTAGCAAACATAAAACAAAAATGTTTTGGAGATTTAAGGTAATGTATTTCAGCTCATGTTTGCTGTACTTGGAGCAGGTTCAAGGCCTTTTTCAGCATCTCAGCTGACACAGTAACTCGTTAAGCTGCAACAGCTCATATATGACTTGAATCCTAAATCATAGGATTATAAAGAGGAGATCTCAATAGATGTCATAACAGAAGGAAGAGTCAGACTAAACTCCTCTTTAAAAAAAAAAAAATAGATATCAGCTTGTCTGCACAGTTTGCATTTCTGTCAGTTATAGATTATACAAATGTACATATACTACATGAAATTCATGCAGGGTGTTTTTTGGTTGTGTTTTAAAACGTGCTCATGTCTTATAATTCTTCCACAGGGATTTCTTCTTAGTGAAAAGATGTCCAATTTTCAAGCAGTTATTCTACAAGTATCATCCCTTTGCTTTCTCTCATAATCTTTAATAAATTCAACATTAACCTAGTTTTAAATTACTTATTTGACTTCAATTTTATAGTGTTAATGCAAACCTATGACTTCATTTCATAGCAATGAGCAGTGGAATTCATTCATGAAACTGATCTACTAAAGTTTCCTATGTGACCAATTGATTTCTATGTTCAAGATCTGAGGTTGAAGAAAAAAATAAAGCTGATTTTTACCCAAAATATTTATCAGACACACGAGAGTCTTGTGATAGGCTGAAGGATGCATTTCATAAAGGTATTAATAACAGCACTTTCCCAAATTTATAGTTACCTGACTTTAATTTACATACGCTGATTTTGTAATACTCCTTACTTAGGCCACAGGACACTAGTTGTCACTGGCTCATCCTCATAAAGGTACTTTTTATTGTATATCACATAGCCTTAGAAAATGCAAAGGTTAACTCAGCCATAAATATTAAAAAACAAAAAAGTTTTCTTCTGAAAAAATTCCATATGAATGAAGAAACTGCACATCAAAACAGTCTGGCTTAGTGCATTCATGATGTTTATTCAACAAATTAAAATGAAGAATTAATCAACTTTTATTAAAAAATATATTTTTGGTTTACACCATTATTATATAATAAAGTGTGCTTCTGATACATAAGATCCAGAGAGTTTCACAGAGTTCATAAATCTACAAAGTAATTTTAAATTGCATATTAAAATTTGCAACAAATATACTAGCGTATATGTATTAAATGCACACACTATATCTATCTATCCCAATATATCTTCTTTCTTTTCAAAAAGAACTTTTATCAATCTGTTTACTTAAGAAGTTTCTACCATCACTTAAATAAATGGTTCTTACTTGGCAATTGCCTAGGTCATTAAAATAATTACTGTTTTATTGACTTGTTACTTATAGCAGGAGGAAACAGAGAGTAGGAACTTCAAACTTAAGTAGGCTGGGAAACTCAGCATGAGGGACAGATCTGAAGTAGCAATTGAACCCAGGGACAGGCAATAAGCAACTAAAGTGATGCAACTGCTGGCACAGAGAGAAGAAAACGAAGGGGCAGGCCTGATGCATTCAGTGGACAGGTGCCAAGTATGGAAATCCAGCAGCAAGACTCCAATTTCAACACACCAACAATATTAAAAAAAAAAAAAGTTGAGACTACATCAGTTTTGTTTATCACAAGCAGAGCTAAGCAAGATCCTATATTCTACCATCTATTCTGTGACATTAAATATCATGATGCCCTTGGGATCCTACATGAAGATTTAAAGGAATTTAATTGCCTATATATGCCAATTTTGGTTAAAACTAGATGGGGAAAGAATACACAGCATGCCAGCAGCTGCTTAGCCAACGCAAACACCTCTATTGATGAAAGAGCTAGGAAACGTTAGCCACCACTATCTCACAGGAACTTGCTCATCTCAGCTGTATTTACACTGTCCTAGGATAGTAACATCTTAACGTGACAAATCTCACACTGACAGGGATGGGAAGGAGAGAGGTAGCCATGGAACAAAAGAACAAGTGCATCTGCAAGACAAAAGGAGGACGTCAAGGTACAAGACATTTTGAAGCAGAGACCCTGTCATACCAAAGTAGAGACACTCCCAGGAACCTGGATGGAGATGACACAAATAATCCCTGGAACAGAAGGAAATGTCATGAAGACACATAGCAATATCCGAGTTAAGTAACGTAACAGAAGAAACTAGTGTCAAATTCTACTCACAAATACAATAAAATGCACAGCTATAGAATGAGGACTTACTAGGACTTCTGCCAAGAAAGATCTTGGAGCTACAGCTGATTCATGTTCAACCTGCAATTCACATCATCGCAGCATTGAAAAAATATGAAGTGTTACACTGCGGTATATTGTCAGAGTACTACATGGACATTTATAGAGTTTCACCTATTTTTCTCAAGAACCCAGCTGAATTCCTGGTTATTGTTTTGAGTGTCACAGATCACAAAAAAAAAAAAAAAAGGCAGAACCATTAGAGAAGGTCTACAAGAGAGAAAAAAAAAAATTGATGATAGGCATAGGAAATGCATCCAGAGACTTGGAAAGAATTTGGGCTGTTCAGTTTAGATCCCAGTAAAGTCTGTGGGGACATTACAATGCACTGTCTTCAAGCATACAAAACTTCATCTGAGAGAAAAGCAACGAAGGGTACTATAATCTCCACAGGGGATAACACACAGAATAAAATTACTTAACCTGAAGCAAGAGGGATTTAGGCAAGACATTAGGAATCTATAAGGACAGTGAAGCACCAAAACAAATTACACCATGAACTTTTCAGAGTCGTTAAGAAATGTTACATAAACATCACTTAGGGAGGTTTTAGGTGCAGTTAAGTCTACCTCATTGGAAACGAGTGACTGAATTACTTCTGAAACCAATGTAAAGGCTCAAACTCTAGGAACAGGAAGATCTAAAAAGCCAGGTCCCCAGAAGCAATGAAGTCTACTACCCTCAAGTTGGTGTGCATGGCATTTTATAGTCACATTGTACTATGTCCTTATAAAAGGGCTTGAAATCTTTTGTTTTGGCTGTGGAATGTACAATTGCAAAGACTAGTAATTCGGTTTTTGTGAAAAAGAATTTTGAGTTTTCAAAAGAAGGAAGTGCGAGAATTTGTCTTGACAGCTCTTTCATTTTAAGACAATACAACTTCTAAAATACTTGTCTTCATTCTGCTGCTTCCTTTAACCCTGGGTTCTGCAAGTTTCTCAAATAACAATAAGGAAATGGATATATGCTTAGCAATGTAATGGTTCTGTTGTGCAGCCACAGATGAAAATACACTGAATTACTTCAAAAGGTTTCTAGAGAAATCAATGAAGTGAAAGTCTTGGAAAGTACTACTAAACAACTTATTTTGTTTTCCTTTAAGTGCAGCGCCTAGGATTTATGCTACTAAGCAGAACATGAAAGTGATCTTTGATTAAAAGCTGTTCACTTGTACATTGCAACCCTAATACTTAAGCACTTTCTGCTCAATAACAGATTGCACGAAGGGAAGAAAAAAAACCCTTTGCAAAGCGATCAGATAAAACACGCATCACTCGATGTGAAAAAGCTACACTCGCAGGTGCTTGCACATATCATTTTGAACAGGAAAAAGACAAGCATCATGATTAACATCAATTGTGTAAGTCAGCTTTTGCTTTTAAAGATGGAGTAAATTTTATGCAAACTCATTAATATTTTTGTAGCTGTTGAAATGTTGCATTTGCTAATAAGAGAAATGAAGTTTCCTTATAGCTCCCCTAACATACAGAATGCAACTCTCAAAGAGTTGAATGACCACTGTGACTTTTGGAAGAGCCAGTGCACAATCCACGATAACCACTGACTATTAAGGTATGACGTCCTGTTATATACATATTTATTTTACCTCTTAACTAAGTAGCCATTTCAAAGAAACATAGTCAGTGAAGCTCACAGAATACATTTGAAATACCCTTATGCAAGGCATACATTCAAAAGCATTTGTAAGCAACTGAAGGTTTTCTGCAGCATAAAAGGCAGTTCTGATATTTAACTGTAACTCCCTCTCATCCCCAGTTTGGATGACTTAACTTGGTGGGGCCGCAAAGCTCGGTGACTCATAACATCGTAAGTTCCAAATGCACAGAGGTAGTTAAGCAGTAAGGAACAGTAAGGGTGAGTTATAATTATCTTCATGTAATTATACCTACGTGGGATAGCAAAAGGGAGTCAAATTTGAAAGGCAAGATACTGTCAGCAACTCAGCATAGTTACTGAGAAGTGCTAATAGCATTCTTTGCAGAAGGGAGTGTTGATGGTTGGAGCTATCATTGCAGAATATGTTTTCCATCGATGCCCACCCTTCCATTCTCTTCTCCTAAGTCATCCGGTGTCTTTCACCATACTCCCTTACGTGACAGTACTTACCAAGGCAGGGCCCTGAACCTCATCCATCTTAAGTGTACTGCATTTTTTAAATTCATAATCAAAATAATTACAGACAAGCAGATCCCAACAAAAAGAACTACAGGCTTCTGCAAGAAGCTTTCAGTAGATCTCTACAGATGGGGGGGGCTCTATGATCAGAGATTGGTTTAGACTTTTGTTCTGCTGTGGGTGTTTAGTTCTTGACCCACAAGCCCTTCAACATGAAGAAAAGCTGGCCAAGATGCCTTTATCTCAAAACATGTTTTCAGTCTAAATAAAACAAAGGCTGACAAAGGGCTCTCAAGAATCTGCCTGCTTTTTTCATAGCAGTTGGCATTTCTTGATCACTGACTTGTAGTTCTATATAACTGTAAGGAATCTGGGTCTGCCTTCAGCCCTCTAGAAGAGAGGAGAATCCTGAAATTCATCTTACAGTATGCAACTCAAGAGTTACTCTTTTCAGTTTGACCATCAGTCATGGGCAACGTAGACACCGCAGGCTTGACTCTTCCCTCTCATATCCCTTGTCTCCTCATATCTTCAATAAGGTTGCATAGTACAGTAAGTAACAGCAAAACTAAACACTTCTATTAATGGGATTGCTAACAAATGAATTAAAAACAGACCACAAGAGAATCCAGCTTACTATTCCACTGCCATAGTAGATCTTCAGTACTGAAGGCTATGACAACAGCAGTAAGTTTCTTGAAAATAGTCTTATTTCTCAGTGTGAATTTTCTGACTTTGAAAATTAAATACACGTGGGGTTTTGTGTGCATTTTCTTTCCAAAGGAGGGCAAGAAGAAAAAAGAAAAAAAAAGCACAAAAAACCCCCAAAACCCAAATCATCCCCCACAACTTAGTGGGGAGATATTACAACTACCTATAAAGCACTCAGGGAATTTTATATGGGGTTCCTCGTAATACCAAGGATTAAAATGCAGTTTTCAGATCTGAGATGTCAAGAATAAACTCATCTCTGATTTAAAAAAAAAGTGGTTTTTTTTTAAAAAAAAGTTTATGTCAAGGTGCCAGAGACAAAGAAAAACAGTTGTACTACTGACAAGGAGGTGTAAACTACTTTACAATGATGCCACCATAGCCACCCCAGTATTAGTGAAATGAAAGGGAAAAAATCCTACTGTGGGTGAAGCTAATAATTCTACTCATTCAATAAAAGCTACATGGATATACTACCTATATGGTCAAAGGATTAATAGTACAATTTAAATATTGTACAACTATGTTTAGAATGATTGAATGTAAATACAGTATCAAGAAACTCAGATTTTGCAGAAAAGAATCCCACTACAAAGCTTCCTTTGACTTCTTCTTTCATGTTATTTTCCATATGTACTTGCAGAACACATTTAACATGCAGGACCACAAGAAAGCAAAACTTTTCCTGCCAATAGTTTCCTCATCAACATTTTATAAAGTTTTAATGTTTCTTCCCTCCCTTCCCCCCAAAAAATAACTATGCACTTAAGCAAAGGAATGGAACCTGCAAGGCTCAGAGGAACAGAGGTTGTGGGACCTCCTGTATCAACTAAATTAAACTGTTTAAAGTTAAATACATTTAATGCCAATTTCACATATAAAATACCTACTCTTTCAGTACAAAATGCACACCTAACCTCTCGCCTTCTTCCTTTGGGAAAGTCATCCCCATCAGGGAGAAGCTACTCTTAATATGCTAAAGCTTAATATGGTTGACAGACATTCACAGACTCTTCTCCAATTTTATTTTATTTTGACTGAAGAGTACCCAGCTTTTGCCTTTAACTATTTACTGCATGACCCCAAAATAAATCCTATAATAGGGAGGAAAAAAAAAAAAGGTTGAAAACTCACTTATTCACCTGCTGATCAGTACCATATATACATGTAATGGTAATTATTAAAAATTTCTCAAATAAATACAAAAATACACTGAAATGAGGGAAGAAAGAATACAGAGTAATGTAAAAATTGTTAAGTAAGAATTATCAGCAGATTAACAGTCATCTCACAGGCAAGTTTCTAGTTTCTTTGCCTTTAAACAAAACTTACAAAAATAAAAAATACCTACTGGTGTCTGCTTGGCTGCCCACGCTGATATATCTGTCATTTCCAGGAAGGGCTGTTTGATAGTAAGTTGCCTCCTCTAGCTGGGGAACCTTGGCATTCTTCGCAGTGAGGAAAGCCACAGCCAACTCCAGATTACCATTGCTGTCCTTTAAGCATCAACAAAACAGGAAGTGAGAGTCCCCCCACCCTTTATCTTTGTTTTTCTTAACAGCAAAGGACCACATTATAAGCAACTTATAAGATCAATGACATGTTGTATTTTCAGGTGAAATATCAATTAGAAAAGGAAGTTTCCAAACTTGACATATTCTACTTACTTCACTATTTTTAACCAAAATGAAGCCAGAACACCTTATAAGAATTTACTTCGGTAGAATTCCACTTATTACAGAAAAAATTAAAGGTCTCAGTGCAGGTCAACCCCTCAACGAGCATAATCAGGACACACTGACTTCAACAGCAGTCAGCTGAATTCTTCCAAAAAGCTACCATTTCATTTTTAAGGCCAGAAATGCTGGCTTTTGAGGGGCAGTTGTGTACATGACATGCTGAATCTGAAGCAACAGATATATATATATATGATTTAAATCCACTGAAACCTCATTTACCACACATAAATGGCTAAAAAGTTCTGCTTGAGGGAGACAAGGGATTTATTTGTTTTTCATATAAATATTTTGGGGGAAATAGGATGCAGAGAAACCTGCTATTCTTTACTTGCAAAGAACTCTCCTGTGCTGTGAAAGAATTACAATGGTTGGGAAAAACAAGTGAAACAACAGCAAATTAGCAAAGGGTGGCAAGTTCAAGGAGAGTTCTTCATTCTACATACTGAGCAGGGCTCCTCCACGACAGAAAAAAAACTTAGCTACACCTTGTCAAGGAAGACAACACTTAACTTATCAGGAGTTGACCAGCTGTACTAGCACCAAGGTATCACAAAACACTTTAGCCAAAGGTTAAAGGCAAGTCATACCCCTCCCATCTTTTCATTTTTGAACACCAAATTAATTTGTATCAGTACCAAAACAGATCAAGATTCCTTCTAAAGTGAACAAGCTTTTTTTTCTTGAAATAGATCTAAAGAGTATTTAAGCTGGGAATGGAAGGGAGGGCGAGAGTAAGAAAGGGTAGGGTTTATGGCTTTCACAGACAATTAATGACAAGATGTATACAGTCAGCTACAAGTCGGACACATCCATCTTACCTTCAGTGCCTGTTGTAGTACCTGGATGTCATTGATACCAGTGATCTCCCTCAGCTGATTTAAAAATGTTTGCTGGTGCTAAAAAGAAAAACAGATCATCGAAATAAGATAAGAGCCAGATAACAGCAAACCTAGTTACTTACAAGAATATGCTTCTCTACAAACATTAAAAGTATCTCCACATGAGCTTTATGCACCACAAAGGGGTAGAGCCTTCATTATTCAATTTTGCCTAAGTTTCTGCAACTTGGGCACTTTTAATCCCAAATGTAATGTTTTTTTGGTTGGTTGGTTTTGGTGGGGTTTTTTTCTGGTTTGTTTTTTTTAACTAAAAAAACTTATGATGGGCAAGTTTATGCAAGATGGCTTTAAGAAGCCTATATAAAGCCACAACTGGCCCTCCTAAACAAATAAAACTCCATAGCTTGGTCTTCAAAGGCAGTAGGGGAAATAGTTGACTGAACTCCCAATTATTCTCAATCCCACTATTTCCTTAATACACACAATTCCCAGCCACTCCAACCTCAAAACTAAGAAATCTTTACGGATCATTCGTGTTTTACGAGAAATACTATAAAAATATCCACACAAAACAGTTTCTCAAAACTAAAGCAAAACCTTAGGAATCTATCTTAACTGCCTTCCCAGACGAGTTGAACCCAACTCTCTCAAATCACATCAGTCACCATCCATGACTAAGTTTCAAGTCAGACTGGAGTTCGAAAAGAATACGAGGTTCTGTCTCTCTTAAATATTCAGTTCATATAAATTTTGAGCCTTTTTTAATAAAAATCTGGCCCCACTCCTGTTTAGAGCCAATAGATGATTCCCTCCGCTCATGTTTGGATATCACACCACAGAAGCAAAAAGCAGGCACTAGATTAGAACAATCCTTGAACTCCAGTTAACCATTAAAACCATCTTATCCATTAAAACCACGAAAATACAGAGGACTGACCATTGTTCCATACTAACAAATTCCATTCTTTCTTTGGCAGATGAGAAAAGGAGAAAAGCTTGGTGGTATTTGCAAGTGGTTTTTCTTTTTTATTGTTTGCCCACCACATCCTGAACTCAAAACAATAATTTCATCTATAAAAGAGAAGATTTTGTGAAGTACAGGGTTTGTTTGCTAGACAAAAAATATATTTCCTAGCAGAGACAAATAAACGTTCTCATTTTACATTCCAAATTCAATTAAAAGAAAAAACCAACTACAATTGTCTTGCAGCTATTTCTAAAATACTTTTCTTTAAAACGAATTATTTGGAATCAAATATTCAAATCCCTTATTCTCTCCTTATCACAGCTTTGTATAGAAGAGGAAATTAAGAGCTGCATGAATGCTGAATTCCCCAGTGTGAAATTAACCTGGCAGGCACTACTTCATGCCCTAATAAGTTGAAATAGAAGGCGTATAGTTCAGGATGTTTATGAATTACATACACAATCTTCCCGTCATTTATGATCCTAAGGGACACTGCTAACAATCCAATTTGCATTTTTTTCCCCCCTTTTCTTTTTAAAAACCTCTGCTATTGGCACAAGAAAAGTGAAGTGATGCAGGAAAACAAACTCCCACTCTATCCCCATCCTTCACCCCCTCATTTGTTTACTCTGTGCATTTCATAGCACTGTACAAAGGCAGGATTTGTTTCCCCTATAAAGTTGCTTCCCTGCCCCTGGGTCTGGCAAGAAGCAAAGAAAAGAAAGAGAGTATTTGGGAAAAGTAATTACAACAGCATTAACACTGGCAGGAGGAATTCAAGGGCAGTGCATGACAGCAAAACAGATTTCTTTTTGTATTTGCTACCAACGCAGTGGTTAGCAAAACAGAAAATAGTTTCACTATAAATTGTTATAACAAGTTATACCACATTTCTGTATCTTCCCTGATATATACAACACTTGGAAAGGCTGACTGGAGGATATTCATTGTTCACAGAGATTGGGAAAAGACAGAGGAGACATAGTTTACCAACAAACAATCTCTTCGCAGTTCAAAATATTGGCTGTTAATTTATGAGCACAGCTGTGACTTGTAAACCTAGACATCTGTAGTTTATATCCAGATTTCAGTATTCTGGTGTAAAGCTGCGGTTCGAGGCCCCCTTCCCAAGGACATACACATTTAACAGATCAGAACCAGACCCAGAGATGCTCCTTTTTCATGAGGGGATTATTTAAGTACCTAAATAAACTCTTGGCCTTAAAAAAGTGTAAGGCAGCTTCAAAATTTCTAACTGGCAATTACGTGAGCAACACAGAGAATCCATAACCATCCCAGTTACAAGCGTCAGAAATCAAGAGGAAAAATCAACAGTTATCCTGAATACCCATGAAACTGTATTAATACAGGTAATTTTCTTTTCATTACAAATGACAGTGCAGGTAGTTACTACCAAACCCTTTCCTCATTCATTAATCAGAGGGCGAGATCAAATTTTCTTTTGGTTTTTCTTTTCACTTAAGAAGTTCAAGAAACACAATTTTACTTTTGTTCAGAGAGCTGAGATTACTTCACTCTTGATGTAACTTTAATTTAGTGCATCTGCACTAGACCACCAAAGTCAAAATGGGTGAAGCTTATTTGCTTTGAATTATATTCCTTTAGTACATGCTATTGTGGCATATATGATCCTAAAGATTTTATTTTACTGTTACCCATGACTGAAGTTTGGAGATCAAGTTCTAGTGCAACCGGTAAACAATTAAGTCTCTTCTGTACTGTAAGTGATATTTAATAGAATACTTAGGACAGCCTTCTACAGAAAAAACAAGACATCCTCTTTACTCCTATTAATCATAGAATCATAGAGTGGTTTAGGTTGGAAAGGACCTTGAAGATCATCGAGTTCCAACCCCCCTGCCATGGGCAGGGACGCCTCCCACTAGACCAGGTTGCCCAAGGCCATGTCCAGCCTGGCCTTGAACACCTCCAGGGATGGGGCCTCAACAGCCTCTCTGGGCAACCTGTTCCAGTGCCTTACAACCCTCATAGTGAAAAATTTCTTCCTAATGTTTAATCTAAACCTGCCCTCTTCCAGTTTAAAGCCATTCCCCCTCATCCTATCACTACATGCCCTAGCAAAAAGTCCTTCCCCAGCTCTCCCGTAAGCCCCCTTTAGGTACTGGAAGGCCGTAGTAAGATCTCCCTGGAGCCTTCTCTTCTCCAGGCTGAACAACCCCAACTCTCTCAGCCTCTCCTCACAGGTGAGGTGCTCCAGCCCTCGGATCATTAATGCTCTGCCCGATTACATATACCCTAGGAGCTTTACTCTTCTTGGAGCTTGGGCTATCTTGAGTTGATGTGATACTAGCATATAGACACTCAAACGTCCACAAACACTAATGTAGATATTCTAAACAATTATGATCATAATTCACTCAAAGACTTACCAAAAATACCACAAAAAACCTCATACTACACTAAAGCAAAGCTAAGAAATGAAGGTGGCCTACAAGTATTTACAAATGTCTGAAGCATCTACACTAATATATGTTAACTAAATCAGGTCAGCAAGGGGGATTCAGAACACACCTAGCAGTCCTAACATAAACAAGTTGTTTCCTTCTTTCAACACAGCTCTTCCCCAATTCCTATTTTTTCTCAACCTTGCATTGGTAGAGGTTCAAATTCCGAACTCAGTGCGCTTTAATTCAATTTAATAAGCAACTTCTCTCTTCAAATGCAGATCCAAAAGAGATTATTCCAACAAAGCAGGTGCAACTACTGGTACAAAGAAACCCACTTTAGTTTTCAGCACTTATTTGCCTGTACCCACTTCTGTTTACCATCCTTTCCTCAAATTTACATGAGGAAGTCCATAGTTTATCTATAGCACAGATCCTCCAGTTCAGTGAGTCAATACTCCACGCATATCTGCAGTGTACATGCACCACCAAATGTGTTACTTTATACACGCACACATAGATAGATAGATATATGTAAAACACATACACATGCACAATCCACGTAGCTTAAATTGCATTTGACTCAACTCTAAAAAGGCTCTGGTCTACGACACCAGACTCTGCTGGTGCAAGTGCTGCAGGGCAACCCAAATCCCTGGCTGGGCAAAGGAGATTGCCTGCGGATGCTATAGCTGCCCTGAGATGCAGCTGCTCACACTCCTCAGTCCCACCACATCACATAGCAATCAGTTCCCCGGGGGTTTTGTGTGCAAGCTATTCCCAGCCTTCCCCCTTCCTCTGGCTCCCCGAGGTATGTAGTATGTATCTCCAGGCTTTCAGCTCTTGGAAGATTTTAACTAACAGGAAATTCTCCCATTTTCCTGGATGGAAGCCAAATTTGTATATTAGGAATGCATGCCCTTATTTCCAATTCTTTCCTTTTTCAGCCATCCCTCTCTTCCTCTCAGGAAATGCCCAATTAAGATTATCTGGTTTATAACCTCACACAATAGCATATTCAGTAGCTATGCCAGCACTAGTGAAGCAGAAAAGGACCTACACTGTTATCTGCTTAGGGAGATACTGTGCCCAAATTAATTCCACAACAGTACTGTAAACTCCGATAACTTATCAAAATCAGCACAAAAAGCTAAATTGCACAAATGCTTTTTTGGACAGGGTGAATCTCATAAATTGACTAATTCTGAATTGTAGTTCAGATAAATTTGGGGGGATGGAGGCAGCAGGACTCGGCCTCCGAGACCCCGGCGTTTTCTCATCTCTGTAGCTTGTGAAGGAGTAACATGTAAGCTTTGGCTTTCTTCATGGCAATATCCAAATATTTGTATATGCAACACAAGCACTTTCAAACTTTGAAGATAAAACAACCCTCTTCAGTTTCCAAACACAGAAATAGTCATATGTTTAGTTGTAAATGAGACGGTCCAACCATTACCAGGAGAAAACAGGGCCTACTGCCTCACTGCGCAGTTCATTTAAAATAGTACATAATGGAAACAAACTATGGGAATCCCTTCCTTCAACGGACGAATATCTGTATGAGAGACAAAAAGAAAGAGGGAGGAAAATGCAAATGCCTAGAACAGCATCTTGACTCAGTTCCTCCACACAAAACCTGCTTACTTGACTTTCCAGTGCAACAC